GTTATGGCTATAACATTATGTCACATATGGAAAATTGTCTTAGGCCATGCAAAATTACTAGATACGTCGATAACTATATACATAGCAATTTGTTACTATCGTGATAATAAATTGTGTGGGTGATGAGCGATTAAGGGCCGTGCGTTTACGTTCGGCTCGAGTATAGCGCTAGAGGTGAAATTTGAATGCCATAGAAAATGTCTGCCTACTCAAAAGACTAGTTTACAACTCTCCAACCACATTATCTGAGTTGAAAAGAATTACAGATATTTGGGAAAATAACGAAGATATAAAGCATATGATGTATACAGAGCATGCCGGAAGCTGTGACCAAAACAAAGGGTGGAAATACAAGATATTAACGTGTGTTAATAATGTTATGTACAGTAGTAGTGTATCATGCTAGCTAATAAATTATATAATTACAATTTGAATAGGCCTTTTAATTTTATGGAAAACGTGAAAAATTCTGAAAATTTATAGTGGTCCTAATTCAATAGCCAAGGGACTGCATGTGTAACTAAATGTACTACATAGGATATTTTGAAAATAATATGTAATACTGTTTGAGTGCAATAATTTAGTGACTCACTGTATAAAGCGTGTATGAATTTTGTATGAACGTTCTGTACACAGGAATTATATGATGGAACAACGTAATATAACAAGGATAACATTTGTACTGGTAGAGACGCAAAAGAATTACAGAGGTCAATTCTGTTTATTTAAATGAAACCGCGTATTTTTCTTTTTTTTCAGGTTAATCAATAACTCGCAACATTCTACATAAAACAGTATTGAAGTAGAAAATAGAAAGAAGATCAATATTGCGTGCGATATTTAAAATTTCAAAGTAAAATGTTGCACATAAAAGCTTGAAATACTTCATGAACTGTTCATTCATTTGGTATTGTGCCCAAACATTTTTCTACTTAAAACATTGTATGTAGGGATTTTGGGAATATAGGGATTTGGAGATTTAGGAATTTGACAATCTAGGGATTTGGGGATGTAGAGATTTGGGGGTCTAGAGATTTGGGAATGTAGGGATGTGGACATGTAGGGATTTTGGGAATATAGGGATTTGGAGATCTAGGAATTTGGGAATCTAGGGATTTGGGGATGTAGGGATTTGGGGGTTTAGAGATTTGAGAATGTAGGGATGTGGACATGTAGAGTATTGGGGATATAGGAATTTGGTGATATAGGGATTTGGAAATGCAGGGATTCGGAGATGTACCAATTTGAGGATGTACGCATTTGGGTATATAGGTTTTTGGAAATGTACGGTTTTATGTATGTGAGGATTTAAAAATTTAGCAAAATAGTGATCAAGAAATTTGATAATGTAGAAATTCAAGAGTGTAGTGACTTAAGTATTCAAACACACCCTAACATATACTACCTCCATCATTATTATCTTATCTATTATCTACAAATTCTCCTACCATTACCATTACTATCATTGAACAAAAAAAATATCATACGATGAAAAATATATATTTTTGTCTTCCAACAGAGCCTCTCGAAGATGGGTTCTCGAAGGAGCGGATCAGGAGGGAGTCGGGCGAACGCTGGTGTCCTGAAGGAACGGGCCAACATGTCTTTTATGCTTGTGGTCATGTTCTTCGCCGTGTTCGGCTTGATCGTCCTTACGGAAATATTCCTGATCGACGAGAGGCGTGGTGTGGGTGTAGGTGGCACAGGGGCTCTAGGAGGTCACAGAAGCGGACATCGATTGCCTGCTGCACCCGATCGTCCAGATTATGGAGAAATCGGAGTAAGTACGCAATTAGAAACAGCTGTATCTACTTGATTAACACTTTGGTGCCAGATGACGTCCTTACCACGTGCTTCTCATATTGAATTGTAACACAGTAGACATAGGCATGTTTGCATTGCGGTGCCAATGTTGGTACATTTTCACATAAGCAAACAAGGCTAATGCTGCTGTTACATGTATAATCAGCTTTTAAAACATCTTAAGTAAACTTGTAGATCTTTAGTCTTATCAGTGTTAATTGATATATCTACATCCTTTTACTACCATTCATTAGGTGTATGACTTACTAAAGAGGTGAAAATGACTGTTTAATTAGTTTTTTATTTATTTGACAAGTTTTCATTTTTCAGTTTTATTTTAACTTAGGAGTTTTTATTTTTCAGTTTTATTTTAAGTTACAAGTTTTTATTTTTCAGTTTTAAGTTACAAATTTTTATTATTAAGTTTTATTTTAAGTTACAAATTTGTATTGTTAAGTGTTATTTTAAATTATAAATTTTTATTGTTAAGTTTTATTTTAAGTTACAAATTTTTATTACTAACAATACATTTTATTTTAAGTTATAAGTTTTTATTTTCAGTTTCAAGTTAGAAATTTTTATTGTTAAGGTTTATTTTAAGTTACAAATTTTTATTATTAAGTTTTATTTGAAGTTAGATGATTTTCTTGAAATTTATATTCTTTCCATTAAGATAAAAATTTAATTTTGTACGTTAATTTATGTTTTACCTCCCTTTTATATATTTTCCAACTCCATTTTTAATTTTGAAATAAATACGCATCAGACAATCGATAATTAGTTGATTTAGTGTTAATTAACATCCTATTCAATATTTCATCACCATGCAATCCCATTTCAAAGCCACTTGAACTCACATTATAACTTCGTGTCATAGATCAATATTAAAAATATGAGATGTACTAAATATTGACTATACTTTTTGACACATAATGTTCCAGAGAGTTGATATAAATATAAAATATTGTGTTTCATGAAAAGGAGCATTTGCATTTTGTGGTGCATCGAACTATTCATGAAGAAAATGAAGTCGTAGAAAAATAGACATTGTCATTTGACGTTTCTTCAAATTCGAGATGTAATTCATTCATTCATCCATTCATACATTCTTTTATAATACTGTTTCTATACATTTTAATAAACTTCAAATTGTATGAAGTGTGAAAAGCTAGCATGACTTAAAGTACATCTATACATACATATACATACGATCGATTAAACGATTAAACCATGAATGTATAAAGACGAAGTGTAAAGTGAAGTTAGTTTTGCGGTAAAGGTAGTGATAAATCGGTTAACTCCGCTTCTCTTCGACATCGTTCGGATTACCACGTGATACAACTGTCAGTCGAAGTCGTAGCCTTGTATGGTCAAAATGTCAATAGCAGTCGGAAAAATAATGGAGTTTATTCTGAAAAGAATATACGTATGTAAATGGATTAAAGATTATCATCATAAATCATAAACGATGGGATAAAAATAAAAAAAGAAGAAAAAGGTACGAAAAACTTCTGTTCTTTAAGCAAAGAATATACATTGAAAATTCTATACATCATGCGGTATGAAAACGTCTTATTCATATTCTTTCTTTATTCATGTTCTTTCTGACTGTTCGTTCTTGTTCTTTTTACAATCAGTTCGATGGAAACACTCATGATCTCACTCAATTTCATTCGCTCCTCAAAAATTATTCTTTCTAACAGTTTATACAAAAAGCGTGCATTGTTTACTGACGCTTGACACCGGCCATGCAACGGTTAACCGACAAGAACCGAACGCAACCGAAACTAACCGATTTACAGAAACGAACTTCCGCAGCTTCTTAAAAGAGTTTCTTACGTTTCGTTTGTATAAGTTTGCGGATGCAACGAGACAGAAACTATTTTAGTCTTTGGCATAAAGTTCGCAATCACGAGGAATGAAAGGAGGACAGATTATGACCTAAAACGGTATGGCGGCCCACCCTCGGGGAAATTAAAACGTCTGGATAGCCGGCGGCGATCCGTGACACCGAGTTAATTCTTCTGACCGCTGGAACCTTCTTCTTGTTCGCCGTTTTCTTTGCTCCTCGGTAATAAGCAGGAGACATCCAGTTGGCGAACTTCTATGTCGCTCGCGGGCTCGATAATCCTCAAACGTTTCCAGTTCGAAGCAAAGGGAACTGGTAAAAGACTTTCGAACTAATGGCAAGGGCTCAACTTTCTACTCGGTCGCTCTTTGTTCGTACAAAACGGAAGAATAGTGGAGACGGGAAACTTTGCCATCCTGGTCCATCGATTTCTCCTTGCCACTGCTTTTCTAGTCTATACTACCTCTTCTATTTTTATTCCCTCTTTTATTTCGTCCTTTTACTCGTCTCGTTGTCGTCGTTCCGCGACTCTCAATGCGCCTCAAGCTGTTTTATACAACGTGTCCCACCTAACTGTACCATCCTTCGTTATTCTCTTACCACCGCATTCATTCGCTGTTGTTACAATTATTCAAGAAGATGGAGTTGTGCAACTAAGATTATTATATTCGGTTAGATTGTAATATCGTTGAGTGTTGGCGAGGTCGGCAGAAGACGTTTCTCGGGGGCGTGGAGTGCGCGAATTTTGGAACTGGGTGAAGAGGAAGTTCAACTATTGAAAGGGGAATAGAAAAGTTGGAGAATTTTAAGATTAAAAAGGTTTTGGACAAAATGTTTAGAAAGTTAGGTATTTCAGTGTTTGGGGATTTGTGAATATGGGAATTAAGCGAATTTGAAAAATTAGGGATTTGGGGATTTGGGAATTTAGAATTTGGAATTTAGGAATTTGGAAATTTGGCAATTTGGCAATTTGGGAATTTTGGAATTTGGGGATTTGGAAATTTAGGATTTAGGAATTTGGGGATTTGGGAATTTGCAATTTAGGAATTTGGGAATTTTGGAATTTGGAAATTTGAGAATTTGGGAACCTGGGAATTTGGGAATTTGCAATTTAGGAATTTGGGAATTTTGGAATTTGGAAATTTGGGAATTTGGGAACCTGGGAATTTGGGACTTAGGAATTTGGGAATTTTTGAATGTGGGAATTTGGGGATTTGGGATTTAGGAATTTGGGAATTTGGGAATTTTGGAATTTGGGGATTTTGGAATTTGGGAATTTGGAAATTTGGAAATTTTGGGATTTAGGAATTCGGGAATTTGAGGATTTGGGAAGTTGGGAATTTGGAATTTAGGAATTTGGGAATTTGGGAATTTGGGAATTTGGGAATTTGGGAATTTGGGAATTTGGGAATTTGGGAATTTGGGAATTTGGGAATTTGGGAATTTGGGAATTTGGGAATTTGGGAATTTGGGAATTTGGGAATTTGGGAATTTGGGAATTTGGGAATTTGGGAATTTGGGAATTTGGGATTTAGGAACTTAGAAATTTAGGAATTTGAGGATTTGAAAATTTGGAAATTTAGAAATTTGAGATTTTAAAGATACAGAAATTTAAAAATTTGAATAATTTCAAAAGATGATAATTTAGAGATTTGAAAATTTTTAATTTTAGTATTTTAGAATTTGAGAATTTGGAAGTCATAGAATTAAGAAATTGTGATATACAAAATTTAGAAATTTTTGTTATTAGTAATAACATATTGAAAATTAAGAAATTTTTAAATATTAGGATTTGGCAATTTTTAATTTTGCATTTAGAAAGTTAATAATTTTGAAATTTTAGAATTTGATCCAAAAATTTGCAGATTTAAAAATATTAAAAACTAGAAATTTCTAAATTTAAATAACTACAAAATTTGAAATTATGACTTAAAATTTAGAATTCAAAAAATTTTGAAATCTTCAAAATATTTGAATCTCAAAATTTATAATTTAAAAGAAATTCTACTGTAACTACTTACAGAATAAGTATCTACTGTACCTATGAGAGCATGTACTTAAAATAACGAACATCATTTTTGCATTTATCTGAAACCGTGCATAATCGCGAATCTAGTGCATATCGAAAATTGCAGCGTCAGTATAAATATGAATGCACCCGATGGAAAGACGGGAAAATGATTCAATGTTGTGTTGACATTTGCAGGCTGAAGATTACATCGGACTGAAGGGTAGCTTCGATGATCATATCGGATTATTGGTGCGTGGGGAAGATGGAGGGCAGAAGACCGCGATACAACCAGATCCCAGAGGTTTACCGAGTTTACCACCGAACCTCGAAGCTCGTCTGCCACAGCTTGATCAAAGCTTGAGGATCACGCACGCCGAATGGCTACCAGTCACGAAAACCAGGTGTGTTCATGAATTAATGAGGACATCAAGGCAATCTGTGTCGTGAAACGCTATCTTACAAAACGGTGATAAAAACGATTGTCATAAATTGTTTCCATTTACGCTGTCAACGTAAAAAAGTTTGAACTCGTAGATAAACTAGAAAGACGAATTTGTTCTAACTTCTCAGTTTATCGCGTTGCGAATATACTACATTAAATAACGTTATATGCTGATAAATATTAATAATAAAAATACTAAAATACTTCTTACTTTATTTAATTTTATTTAATGTTATAAAATAAATTAATAATAATTCATAACATTTTATTTGATAATAAAATAATAAAAGAAGACATTTACTTGAGATAAAAATCATAAAACATGGTGGAAATGAGTGGAAAACCACTCAGACGCCCTCTTTTTTTTATAATGAGAACAATAAATTGAACTGAACTGAAAAATCATAAATTGCAAACTTCTGAAAGGCAGTATATTGATTAATTAAATATACATATTTCATATACCCAGTCTGTGGCCAGAATCAAATTATTTTCATATAATTTAATTTTCTGTACGTTTATGAATATTTTAAGAACAAAAGTGACGAACTGAAAGTTTAGTAGTCTCGTTATTTTACCTTGGGTTTCACGTCCTAAATATGGTACCCCTGCAGTAAAAGGTTAATGAAAGCAGAGCTATTCATTCAGCCGTACGATCAAAGGGTTAATTCTAAAAGCATTGCATCTGTTTTCATTCTCAGATTCAAATTCTTTGTATACTCGGCGTACTTTGACGACAGAGTCGGTGGTACAGGCACACCGATAGGTAAAAATCAGGGTATGGTACGCATAATAAGCGCAACGAAGACAAGAGGACCAGAACGTGTTTGGTGCAGACTATGGTATCGAACGGAAAATGGAGAGAACGTTACTGCTTCTGTAACGGTAGCTGCTAAAGTGAAGGTACGATAATTAAAACCTAAGTAACAAATACTATTTAACACTCTCAGTGTCTCTCATTTCTGGGAGACATCATTTATTTTTCTGGTAACCATTTCACATTTCATATTTCATATTTTACATATACACATTTTACATTTTACATTTCACATTTTATATTCTATATTTCACATTTCACATTTCACATTTTACATTTTGCATTTCATATTTTATATTTTACAATTTATATTTGACATTTTACATTTTATATTACACATTACACATTTTGCATTTTTATTATAAATAATTTTACTAAATATATAACCAGAAAGATTTGTCATTTTTTAAGATGTTTTATCACAAACTTAACATATACACCAAAATCTTATTATAGTTTTATTTATTTATTTATTTTATATAGGAGGACTAGTTTATTATTATTGTACAAAAATGATAGTCATAAACTTAACTAAAAATATATTAATAAATCCATCAGGATAAATCCATCATAAAGAATGTTGAGTGCGTTATTCTTAAAAGACTTAACAGAGTTACTAGAGAAAATTAATTTTTTGTACAATTATGTAAGCAAGATTTAACAATGGTAATAATATCAATGTTTCTTGATGTATAAATTAATAAGTAGAATGTAATAATTTCAGTGTGGTCATATCTTGATGTACAAATTAATAGGTAGGTTGTAGGAGGATGATTGATTAACCCACCGGTGCACAAAAATTAATTCTTTCAAGGATATCAGGGCAATGATTATGACCATTGAATAATTTGTAATATCAGAAGAAATCTTTCTACTTCCTAAGCTTTGTTATATTAAGAAGAGATATCAAATCTGAAGGCAGCATAAAATTTGTTTCAAGGCTTTTGATTTGATATTTAAAGTTTGGTGATCAAATAGCAGGTGGAAATTCTAAGGGAAATAAAACTGAAAAGAAATATAATATTTTAAGAGTTAATACTGTAAGATTCATATTCTTAAAATCACAGAAAGATATTATTATATTAATTGTTTCTTCATATATAAAAAGAATTATTATTTAGGATTTTCATTTACAACTATGCTTTTCTAGAACATTCACAGAAATATTTTTAATATAAAGTGTCACAAACTGACACTTGTCTAAATGTCTCTGTTTCAAGTTTAAACAATTTCATAATTATACATCAGATATCAATTTCACAAATGAAGTAATATTACAATTTTAATATTACAATTACAATTACAAAAATTTTTCTTTGTAATTCCTAGTGATTTGACACATGAAAAACTGTATTATACTTGGCACCATTTTTTTAATAAGATACCTGATAATGTAAGTTTTAAAAATCTGAAAAAATTCTATATGATGTCCCTCATTAACTGAAACATTTCTTCTCTTTTACAAAATTTTGTACATTTACCAATGTGGAAAAAATTATCTAGAAAATGTATGTCACTTTTTGCATTTTATAACCTTTCCAAATACAAAGTTAGAATTTGGCACAAACTTCATTGTGGAAAAGCTATTAAACATATCGCTAGTCGATATTTTTGCTCTCTCTCTGTGCCGTTTAATTACATTCTACTTTATTTCTTTACCTACGTATACCGCTGCGTTGTCAATAAAATATCAGGAAGAATCCAGAAACCATAAATAGCTACTGACACAGATGCAAGTGCCTTTCAATAAAAAGATCGTAATTACATCGACAGGTAATCAGGGAAAATTGGAACTTGAAGTACAGCGCCTGCTTCGTGATTTGCCCGTTGCCCAAAGAGTCGCCCACGGTTGACAAAGTACCGGAAACAGTAAGTGTCGTGGCCAGGCTTAAAGCTGCTCCAACCAATCGCATACTCGTCCAGAATCGACCAGAAAGTAGAACCAAGGATAAAGAACTGTTGGCTGTTTGCGTGAAACCTCTGCACTATGATTATAACAGAGTAAGTTGCAGTTATTGATAATTCGATTAAACTTGTCGTGAAAATGTCGGTAAACTTGTCGATATGTTCCCGCGCATTTTCGTAATTTCATTTTTTTAGTCATTTTTTTATAACCTTAAATAGGTAAAATAATTACACTGATGTATTTATTTACATTTTCATAATGTCGTGTAATAATATTTATAAAATTTCAAAGTTGTGAATTTTGATTTTCGAAATTTATAAATTTTCAAGTTTTCGAATCTTCATATTTCTAAGTTTTCAAATTTCCAAATTTTCAGTTTTAAATTTCCATTTTTAAATTTTTTAATTTCCAAAGTTTCAAATTTTCATTTAAAAATTTTTTAATTTTCAAATTTCCATTCTTGTAATTTCTTAAAATCTAGAAACTTCAAAATTTTGAATTTTCTAAATTTTCCAAATCCTAAATTTTCAAATTTCCTTCTTTCAAATTCATTGATATCCCAAAATTTCCAAAATTAAAAATGCAAGTGCTTACAAATTTAATAATTTCAAAAATAGTACATTTTAATATAAAAAAATTTCCAAATATTTTAAATGAAAAATTAAAAAATTGTCTTTTGAAATCGCAAAAATTTGCATGCATCCGTTGCAATTTAATCCGAGCACAAGTAGCGTACATAAATATCCGTACAAAGTCGCTTAATCGGCAATATAACGAGAATCTCCAATAAGCAATAATTAGTTCCAGTAGAATTGCTAAGCTTAAAAGTTAATACTGTCCAATCACGAAAATCCACTCTAAATCGATACTAGAGTATGAACGAGTGGCTTAAAAGAGGAAAGTACTAACCTCATGAAAATTTCACAGGTGCTTCAGTTGGTAGAGTTTATCGAGCTACACAGACTACTAGGTGCCTCCCACGTAACTCTGTACAATGACACGGTCGGACCCGAAGCCGGATGTGCGCTCAAATACTACGAAAGCAAAGGTATCGTAACCGTGTTGCCATGGCATCATTTGGACATGATTTCCCAACGAGAGATCCGCACAGAAGGACTGTTTGCTGCCCTGAACGATTGCCTTTATCGATCTATGTACAAATACGAGTACGTGGCATTGGTAGATCTCGACGAATTTATTATACCCAGGCACAACGACACAATCATTGGTCTCATAAAGTAAGGACCCTTTACCTGAATCGCAATTATACCCTATTCCTCTACCTTAGCTTATAAAAATCCGATTTTTTCTGTAACACATGTTAACATACTTTGATTAACTACGTTCACCTATGCTTTTAATCTAAATCGTTTAAAATTTTTATAAATACGTTTTAATACTTTAATTTTTGTACTTACCGACCTTTTGCAAATTTTAATATATTGAAAAAAGTTGTTTAAGAAAGTCAAGTATTATTAAAAAGAAGTAACGCAAATAAAGAACTATATATTATAAATTTTACATTAAAACTAAATCTAAACAAAGTCTCAGAGTAATCATAGACATATGTATAAATGCAAATTAAGTGATAAAAAGTTAATAATAAAAAGTACCAGTTTTCTTAAATAAAGATATGTAATACGCATGCGCGCTAGGTGAACTACGCGCATGCGCATTATGTTTTCCACTTCATTCAAAAAAACATTTTTTTAATTTTTGCTTTCCGATAAATATTATAAGTTTAACAATATTTGATAGTTAAATAATTAAAACTAAACCTATAACAATTTTTTGGCACTTCAAGTAATTTAAACAAATTGTCGTTTAAAAAAATATGACAATTGCAGTTTAAGCTTTGTATTTAGTGTAAAACATATCTTCATGTCATCTCACATATTCCGCTTGTATTTTCCAGGTGGATGAGCAGTCACATAAATACTAAATCCACCGGTGCATACTCTTTCCAAAATGCCTTCTTCTATCTTCAATGGGCAGACGATCCATTCGTGACTGCAAGTCGGACACCTGTCGAGGCAGGTTTGATCACTTTGAGGAAAACGAGGCGCAGGACTAAGCTGCATCCGCACAAACAGCGCTCGAAATACGTTTGCAAGCCTCAGGATGTCGTCGAGGCTGGTAATCACTTCGTCTGGGAGTTTATTCCCGGTCACGGAACATTGAACGTGCCTTCGGACGCTGCGATTTTACACCATTATCGGGTTTGCGAGTTTGGCGGTGACGACTGCATAAAGACTCAGTCGGTAGTCGATAGGACGGCCTATAAATACAGAGATAGGTTAGCGGAAAATGTCGGTAAAACATGGATGGATCTGAGCAGCGAGTGTTTGTTACCAAAGTTAGAACCAATACCGGTGATGACACCGCGGATAAAAGCGAATCCCGTTTTGAAGTCGATCAGGTAGCGAAAAACCGTCGTCGATATTCTATGGGATATTGGTAATTTCACTGGTACGCCGAAAGTGGCGAGAACCTACTTTTACAACTATGGCGGTCCATAGTTTCTTCATGGATGTTCCGTTAGGCGAGAAATTGCCCTCGTGCTATGGAATTTATGGTGTGACATACCTGTTTTTCCAAGCCTAATCTCGTTTTGAAAATACGCAGACTGGTGCCTGGCGACTCTAGAGGGCTGCTCATCGAAATGCTGACGAATACTATTTTTCTACGTGAGATGGACTCGTGACCGGCCAGGAAAGTATGGAAAGGACTTTCCAGATCGATCCTGCATCTCTTTCGCCAGGCATGGCCAAGTGATGACTCGTGGGACACATTTGGATATTCTACTTTTTCACTATGTTAAACAATTTAAAAACAATTCTTGTTGTACCTACTTGTCTCATGTTTTTAGTTTAAAGACTTTATCTCTGAAATGTCATTTTCAAGTTCTAAGAGTAATTTGCTGTGCGATATCAAAAAGTGTCTGACAATATTTTTACTTCACTTTAGCGCACCTCATACATCTCATTTTGAAAATTTCGATATTGTTTTGTTAATTATTTTTTAATTTTTTAACTAATCACTTTTAAATTTTCATATATCCAAATTGAACTTCTATATTTCCAAAATCTTAACAATTAACAAATTTTCCAGATTTCATACTCCTGAGTTCCCAAATCAGAAAATTTGAAAATGTGGAGATACAATGTGCAAGCTGATTTGTAGTAATATAGACTGATTGATCTAGTAATGAAAATCATATAAATGTCTATGAGAAGGCACTTGGTCATGCCTGTTTTACGCTATATGGTGCTTCATTCATGTTTTTATACATATATTTACTTAAGAGTTTATTTTTGTTCCAACTACATGGACATATAGTCCTAGCAGATGAGAGTGAAGATTAACAACAAATTATATGATGCTAGTCACTAATACAACCAAAAATACTCACTGAATTTCAAACTAGCCACAAATGCTGAATACACAGAAGAAGATCTTTCATTGAATCTTCACTCTTGTCTGATACACTCACATGCGTAGGTTTCTCTCTGTTAACCTTTTCAAGGTTAAAAACAAATGGGTTCAGCATAGGTTTAGAGATGAAATAAGTAATAAGAAATGTGGGATATGTGATGTAAAGTCTTTTAGTGTGATTATGTGTGTTTATAACTCAACAGTTTAAGCCTCAGTTATGACAGAAAAGTTAGGAATATCCCAGAGAATATACTGATTGTGACATATTGTTTCAATAGTTTTGAAAAGGGCAAGAAAAGGAATAGTAAGAATCTCCTATTATTTTCTGGATTTCTTTTATACTTTCTTTCTACCAAAGTGAATCCTTTATGCATGTGAGTGTACAGTTGCGTGCAATTTAGGCTTCTCTCAGTTAACTGGAAGTGATGAGGAAGGAGTATCCTACTACTCGCCTTAGTTGTCCATGTATTTAAGTTCTGGCTATCTGTAGCTCTGTCTGGCCCTCCGAAGACTAAAGGCCAAGACTGGAAGGCTCCTTCTCCTACATTTACCCTTAACCAACGAAAGCCTATGTTGCACCCAGGTGTAGATTTACGCAAGTTGTTATGCAGGGCCTATGCTCCGGTCTATATTGGTGGCTCTAACATGAGACTTGATATTACAGTTGTTGTCTTGTTGATACATTCTTTTCGACACCTATAAATCCGCACAACGTATAAAAAGAAAACGTACGCATATCTATAGGATGAATACCTAGTCGTAGTTTATGTATGTATAATGTATATCTAGAACAACTAGTATTTAATCTATAGCAAATGCATAGGACGTGTAATGTTTTTAAAGGAAAATGAAAAACGCCGTTTACACGTAGTTTCGATCTGACCAATTAGTTACATTCCAAGTTGTTCATTTTTAGATCTGATTCGTTGTAAAGGAACCCCCAATAACACCAGAGCAATCTCAATGAATGTTGTTATTACAAAGAAATGATAATTATTGTATTCACAGTGATAAAATGAAGAAAAATCAAGGGAGCAGTTTCATCAACTAAATGGAACTTACATGTTTGAGCGTACGACAATGAAATGCGACAAACTATTTCTATTTCTTTCGTAAGGTCACATTTTTTACACGCACATACATTTATGTATATATGTGTATACACAAGAAAACATGTACGTGTTATTTACGTACACAGTATGTAGGATAGGTGAAATACATATACATGTGATCGGTGCTGAACCACAATCAACACACGCCGCCGGCCCGTGTTGGACAAGTTAATAAATATTATACGATGACAATACGTATTTTAATTCCCTTGAAAATATATTTCACAAGTTTGGAACAACGCGTACAATTATATAAATAATGAACTTATTAAATTATTTAACGACGATCGTATATGTATATCTTAAGTATTTTTGGCTACCGTCAAAATTATCTTGGTCCCAATCAACTAATATATATATATATATAAATATATGTATATGTTACTTTTTATTAATATCTATTTACATTTATTGTAAAAATATGCGGATACTGATCGATAATAACACGAACGGTATTATATTTTCAAGTTTTTGTAAATGTTTTTTGTAATGGTTAAAAATCCTCGTCCGAATGATCTATCTTACTAACGGCTCGTTTTTCTTGCCCGACCTTCAGATCAAAGTTCCCAATGTCCGCTCTCCCTACAGAGTCTAAAATATCATCGTCGTCGTCATCGTCATCGTCTAGATCACCGTCAATTAATAAATCACTGTCGCTATCTAGCGAACCACCACTGTCATTTGTTTCTTGAATCGTTCCTCTTCGACGTCCAGACATACTACCATAAATTCGACGCTGTGATATTTGCGTTCTCGATGATCGGCCAGCTGTTGTTTTTATACAAACGTTTATAAAGCATTCGTTATTAAAATTTGTTTAAAAAATACATTGCACGAAATTTTTTCATAATTTTATCACATTCTCACCTGATTTTAGTCGACTGCTTGGAGCTGTTTTTTCAGTACTTTGCTTTTCTGTTTCGGTAAGAGGAGGTGGAGGTTCTTGAAGGTTTGAGGGTAATATGGAATCATTTCCTTCCATCATACTTTCAAAATTAGCATCTTCTGCTCTCATCTTCTTCAACTGATTTCGCGTTGCTTCTTGCCTGTTATTAAGTACTAGTTATTATTTCAATTATCATGTAATCATGAGTGCACACTTAATATACAGCAGGATGAAAAATTAGTTATAGAATAACAAAATACTGGTACTATAGTATATGGAACAGTGGAATAGTAAATTAATAAAATAATAAAATACTAAAATACTTTTAAGAGAGTAATGTGAAGTACAAAATACGCACCGTCTTTCAAATCTCTCTTGTTCTGCTTTAGCTGCATCTTCATATAAATGTTCAAGATATGCAAGGTAACGAAATTTTTGTATATAATCTTCATACAAAGCTTTTAATTCAACTTCAAGCTTTTCAAATTCCTTATTTACATTTATTGTAAAAATATGCGGATACTGATCGATAATAACACGAACGGTATTATATTTTCAAGTTTTTGTAAATGTTTTTTGTAATGGTTAAAAATCCTCGTCCGAATGATCTATCTTACTAACGGCTCGTTTTTCTTGCCCGACCTTCAGATCAAAGTTCCCAATGTCCGCTCTCCCTACAGAGTCTAAAATATCATCGTCGTCGTCATCGTCATCGTCTAGATCACCGTCAATTAATAAATCACTGTCGCTATCTAGCGAACCACCACTGTCATTTGTTTCTTGAATCGTTCCTCTTCGACGTCCAGACATACTACCATAAATTCGACGCTGTGATATTTGCGTTCTCGATGATCGGCCAGCTGTTGTTTTTATACAAACGTTTATAAAGCATTCGTTATTAAAATTTGTTTAAAAAATACATTGCACGAAATTTTTTCATAATTTTATCACATTCTCACCTGATTTTAGTCGACTGCTTGGAGCTGTTTTTTCAGTACTTTGCTTTTCTGTTTCGGTAAGAGGAGGTGGAGGTTCTTGAAGGTTTGAGGGTAATATGGAATCATTTCCTTCCATCATACTTTCAAAATTAGCATCTTCTGCTCTCATCTTCTTCAACTGATTTCGCGTTGCTTCTTGCCTGTTATTAAGTACTAGTTATTATTTCAATTATCATGTAATCATGAGTGCACACTTAATATACAGCAGGATGAAAAATTAGTTATAGAATAACAAAATACTGGTACTATAGTATATGGAACAGTGGAATAGTAAATTAATAAAATAATAAAATACTAAAATACTTTTAAGAGAGTAATGTGAAGTACAAAATACGCACCGTCTTTCAAATCTCTCTTGTTCTGCTTTAGCTGCATCTTCATATAAATGTTCAAGATATGCAAGGTAACGAAATTTTTGTATATAATCTTCATACAAAGCTTTTAATTCAACTTCAAGCTTTTCAAATTCCTCCATGAAAGCTGGACGTACCTTTTTTAACGTCTGAAGCCTTTTTTGATTTCTATCAAGTTCTGCACGTCTTCTTTCAATTCTCGTATCCAGGTTTTGTTCTGTATCCTGAAATATATCAAACGTATTAAAAATATAGAGTATTCAAAAGTACAAGGGGAAAAAACAAATATTACCTTCACACTTTCAATTTGTTTTTTAGTATCATCAATCTCTTTACGAGTATTCTCAATGACATTTTGTAAAGCTGTTTCAATCTGTGACGTATCAAATTCACTGGAAACCTTTGTATTACGAATTTCTCTGAAATCAACTTCACGTCCTAATAAATCAAATAGCGATGCACCAGTAATCGTCAACTGGCTAGCTAATTGTTTGGTTGATTTCAGTTGTTCAACTTGATCAGATATATCAAAATTAGCAAAACTAAAATTTTCATCAGATATTATGTTATTATTGTTACTATTATTTTGAGCCTCGTACAATAATGTGGCTATCTTTAATAATTCTTTTACAGCGTAGCCATCAGCTTGATATAATTTCTTTGTATTCAATTTTATGTTTGCTTTCAAGGCCTATATTAAAGAAAGTATTTCAAAATTTATTTTCATAATTATGTTAAATAATTATAAATATATAGTTAAATATCAATTTGATATCACAGTTTATTACCATGAATTCTGCAATAGTTCTTATTAATGAGATACGTTCTTTTTCAGTGTTATGTTCACTAGATACATCCGCATCTGGATCAAATCTTTTTACTAGCCAAACAAGAATTTCCGCAACAAGTGGAAAATTTGGTAAACGAAAATTTCCGAGAGAAATTAGTCTAGGATAACCGAGTACTTGCATTATTTCGGTAAAATCTATTAACAAATAAATATAATTATTAAATGATGTAATAAAATTCATTATACAAAATACTGATTTACGTACTTCTTAAGTCACGAAATGACATTTTAGTACAAAATTAATAAGACACAAGTTATAACACGTTCTCTTCTACCGTCTGCTTGATAAATTTTGCTTTGTTTTCCTGTATGTTGCTATGGTAACAGATTAAGATAATTCAAAGTGATACCATCTTTTCTAAAAATCATAGAATATGGTATTTAAATTAATTTTTCTTCTTCATAATTGTCGTATTAAGTTATATTTATGCAGCATACTCTTTATTATGAAAAACATTATACATATCAATTACTCAGTTTAAAAAATTAAATTTGTAACTTATCATATGATAGATAAAAGTGCCAAAGGATTATTAGGTAATTTTATATCATGTATATCTTTAAAATTAATGAGCATTTGTGTCATTTATTTCAGACATTTTAGGAAGAATTTATACATGTATTATGGTTTTATAAAAATATATTGAAATAAAAATTTGGTTATTAGAATCCATTCTTTATTAAAGTTAAGCAAAAGATACAATTTCATTGTATACATTTAATATTAGATTTTATTTATTTTAAGAATATATTATTTACAAAGAAAATTAAAAATCTATAGGTTCATTTCTAGCTTGTTTAATTTCAGACCTTTTTCGTTTTTCAAAAAGTCTTTTTCTTGCTGCACTGAGTTTTTGCTTTCTTTTTGCTTCCATGGTCTCCGCTGATACTTCTGGTAGTGGCTTTATAGAATCCCATATTAGCATTCTTAATTTTCCCAAAGCATCAGCTAGATTTAATTGTTGAGATTTTGTTATTTCTGATTTTATTACTAAATAGCCATCTTTAGTTATTCTATTGTGATGCTGTAATAAGTGCATTAATATAAATAATCTATCGTTTTATAAATAACATTCACAAAGTATAAAATACATACCAATTTTAACAACTTTTCTTTAATTTCATCCGATAACCACTTAGCACTTACTACATGAAATCTTACATTTACTTTACTATTGGTACAATTTACATGTTGTCCTCCAGGACCACTGCTGCGACTATATCTAATTTGCAGTTCATTCATAGGTATATAACCATTGAACTGTGAATCTGGATTTTCAGGAGTCTAAAAATGTTTAAAAAAAATTAGTCAAAAATTATTTAAAAAACTATTCCATCATGTTTACTTGTAACTAACACAGTAAATTAAATATAATCACAAGTTTTGCATGAAGAATTTCTAATATGGCAAATAGAAATATTTACAAATACTAATAAATTATTATTAAATATTTTACAATATGTATAGTATATGGTATTACGATATATAAATAAACAATAAGAAGCTTACAAAAGTTGGTGAGTAGAGTTTTAAATTACTTGTTGGATAAAGGTTATCAAGGGCAAAAGCACTTTTATATACAAATGCTTTTCCAATGTTATACACATTTTGACATGATATATCACTTTTAAAAATTCGAATCCACTGTCGACTAACAATATTCATTTTATCGTTTATTAAAGTTTCAAAACTATGTCGTAACCTTCAAACCAGCAATAACAAACACATGCTTTGAATCTCGCTTACTATCGTTACTACTTATCGTTACCTAATATGACATCGATAGTTTGAATTCAATGACTATTTTTCCCGCCATTATTGCAAATTTAATTTTAACGAATAACAGGTACATTTGAGAAATAGGATTTACATTTATTAGAGTATTAATAGGAACTGAAATCATATTTTTTATTTAGCTGAGTTTCTGGAAAGTAAAAATTTTTGAAGTATTTATATTTTTGCAATTTGTATTTTTGCGTGCGCTTTTTGGAACAGCTCCGGCAGCACCATCTAGCGGTCGTCCGGGGAAATATCTATACAAAAAATTGCGTTTGTTTACTCGGATTGTTCTGTGAATACCGGCTAATAATTTTTAATTCATTTATGAATGATTTTGAAAGGGAAGTAGTTATAATCCAAGGGGATTGCCAGTTCTCACGTCTAAAATCTCTGGTGAGTTGCTTCTTCTATAGTTCCAGAAGTGTGCAATTTTATAGAATGCATTTGAGGTTATGTGTAATGATTAGCTCGTCCTCGACAGATCCACATAATAATATTTTTCACGATTTGGAGAGTCTCAAGTTCTCAAAATAATTAAAAAATTATATTGCTGTATTAGGAACTGGAAATCTGTCAACTTGCATCAACATAACCGCAGTAGGTATCGTGTTTGACACGAGTACCATAGGCGTAGAAAGAGCGACGTCTGGGTTTGGAGTTGTTATTGCAATTCCATGCTTCATTTACTTTCATGTAAATCTCTAATAATTTGGAATATGTTCGTAATAAATTGTCTGTACATTACTAACATTGTCTTTTCAGGTATTTTTATCAATTTTACGGCGTGGAAAAGTTGAAAAAGAAAAGAATATACCAACATGATTGCTCTACAAAATATATGATTATCTCCGACGATCACTATAGAATATAGGAATTATTGAAAATGATACCCATATAAACATATCAAGAAAAAAGGAAACAATCTTTTAAAAAAACCGCCACAAATGCTCTTAACAGCGCCATCTAACAAGAACCTGCTGAACTACGATGAACGTGTGTAAAAAACCGACCGGAATCTGTCGGTAATTAATTGATTGCAATTCAACGGTAATATACCAACAGCGAAGTTTCTATTGTAGTTCCGCGGAACCTGCTGAACTACGATGAACGTGTGTAAAAAACCGACCGGAATCTGTCGGTAATTAATTGATTGCAATTCAACGGTAATATACCAACAGCGAAGTTTCTATTGTAGTTCCGCGTACCATGGCTAGATGGCGCTGCGCCCATCCTCCATAAAGGGACGTTCAGATTAGGCAATTATAAATCAAAATAGCCTAATGTGAACGACATATAACACAGCGCAAGAAAGCAATAGCCCCATTTACACTGCTCAAAAGAAATATGGCATAGAAAAATTTTAGGCAAAAATTGGCCAAATTTGACTGATGATAACTCCGTGAAAAATCATCGCAAAGTTATGCTCTTTTTTTCAAATTAAAGCTTGAGATCTCTACTTTAAGACCCTGTAGTTTGATTTTAGATTTGATGCATCACTACCACAATAACACCGTAAATGTGAGATCATGTTTGCAATATTGAAAATTACAAAGTTTGACGAAATGCATGGACTTGCCACATTTTTTTTTGGTGATACTGTTT